TGTCCTCTTTTTTAAAGTTGTATTTAATTAACATATTTAATAGTTTTTATACAATTAAACGCTCTTTGTTTTCATCTTTGTCAATGTTTTCAATACATAAGCCTTTTAGATGCCAGTTTTACGCCAGGTGTTAGAGTCGTACGGCACATCGGAGTCTGTAATCCTGATGCCATTGGCCAGATAAAACGGATCCTCCTCTAGGCACCATTTCTCTTGTGACAAAAACAACGACTGGACATGACAGCAGCACGGTGACAGTATTAAATGCGACCCGAGCAAAGATTTTAAAATATTAATTTAACACATTTGTCTCCAGTAGTGGGTTTTATTTCTGTATTAGTGAATCTGATCGAGAACAAATCATTCTTTTTAACCAGATCTTCCTAAAGAACCGGTTAAACTAGTTCACCAAATCATACTGAATCATTTGAAGCGATTCACCTCTCCTGTAAGCACTTATCCACTAAGACTTACTTTTTAACATGCCTGATACCCTCCTCTCACTCGAAATAAACCAATTTCCTGTTAATAAGACAGTATGCAGAGATCGGATTGAGAATGGGTGAACTTATAATAACGCACGTGTCCGATTCAGTGAATTGAACACAAACAGTACATGGCAGCCTGCTTTGACTAAACTAAACTTGAACAACTTCAGCCCGGGTAAACCCATTTGAGGATCTGGTGGAACGTACATTTATTTCATAACAGAAACTCTGTTATGAGTTGTAACTGACTAAAATTAAGATAGCTAACTACATATTTTTGATATGTTGAGCCCTAACATGGAAGGATTGTCATCATGCGGTTCACGAAAAAGATCTGAACTTCCCATCACTACTGTGTATATATCCCCAGAAGCAGCCTTGCACACATCGAACGATACTTAGGCCTGCTATCTTGCGGGCTGTTATATTAGAATTTAAGGATGAGTGGATGATAGTGTTCATGTGTCCTGAATACAGGTTTAAAAAAAATAATTATGTAGAGCTCAAAATTGCGACCGCTTTTTTCCCGAAATTTTATCTATGCGACCTCAAAACATATTTGGGAGCATTGATGCGAGTGCGTAAAATTGATGGCTTGCGACCGGTTTTCATTGCAAAATGTTCATTGAGTGCGCAAATTTAGGAGACATTCATGCAGAATGCATCTTAGCAACGAAAACTCTCAGGTAAAGTTTGAAACAGTTGTCATTTCAACTTGTTGCAGTAAACAGACCGCAGTTCTTGCCCCGCCTTCAATCTCTTCTGATTGGTCCACTGCTTTAGAACTAAACATGAACGGTTTGGTTAATATCAGTTGTCAGTCACTCAGTCGATGCCTTTTCTCAGATGACAGGGAGAGCTACAACCGCGAACATGTAAATCGCTGAAGATGAGAGAATGAAAACAACGCTGACAGATTTTGTTTTAGAAACCACCTAAAATTACACATAATGGCACATCTTATTAGTGATCGTTTGGTGAATGTTAATCCACTGTTTACACTTTTCAAAGAGTGGATAAAAGACTTCCATTGGGTTAAAGTCCGCTATGAAAATGACTAAAGCATTCACCATAAAGCCAGTGTGACAGAGTTTGCGGGTAACAGCGTTTGCCAGATCTACACATTTTAATGCACGACAGCTTCTGTTTAATCCTTTCTTTAATCGTCAGGATGCTATCAGCTGTGCATGTGGCAGCTGTATGTAAAATGTAACATCACGTACACCATCGCAAAAGGGCTTGCATTGACTAAGATAAAACTAATTTTGCAACTAAAACTAATACTAAATAAAAACTAAACTAAAACTAAGCAATTTCAAAATATAGAAACCAATAAAAATGAGTAAATCTACTTCTAAAAAAGAATTAAAACTAACTAAATTTGAAACCAAATAGTCAAAATGAACAACAACTAAAACTAATGAAAAATCAAAACTGTTATAACCTTGGATTTTTTTTACCTTTATTGTAAGTTATATTGTTAGATAAGCTGCAGATTTGGCTTCAGTACTGACTAAATTAATGTACTATATTTGCATAAATATAATATTGCACAGCTTCCTTTTAAAAATATGAATTTAATAGCTAGATTTGTGAAGGGTGTATTTATATAAGCTGAGCACTGAATTTGATACAAGTTTAGATACCAGCGAAATGTTATCATTTTGTCTTCTTTACTCAATCTTTGCTGGTTTCTTTTGTTCTTTTGAAACACTAAAGAAGATAAATTGAAGAATATTTGAAGCGATAACCATTGGTTTACATAGTATTTGTTTTTATGGATATTAATGGTTTCAGGTTTTCATCAATCTTCAGTATATCTTCTTTTGTTTTCAAAAGAACAAAACCAAGTAAAAAAAAAAAAAAAAAAACTTTTGAAGCAAGTCAAGGTTGAGAAAATTATGATAGAATTGTTATTTTTGGATGAACGAACTCTATGATGGCATATGTTGCAAATTAATTTGGAAAAGTGGTCTACAAATATGAAGAAAATACAATTTTCCACATTTTTACGGTAGAATTAGAAGCAAAAATGCAGGAACAGTACAGGAGGAGCTTAATGCAGACTGAAAAGATCTTGTCATAGATATTTTTGATATGCAATGGCACATTTACATAACCATGCGTTTCATTTTACTTCTGACATCAGATGAACTGGAGAACAATGTCCAGCTCATTCAGTCAAACTGAAGAGGATCATTTGTGGCACAGCCTTGTGATTCCAAATGACCAGAAGTGCCTCCTGTAATCTCACACGCATTTTATACACATTAGAAAAAAAGATTTGCTCACATTTTACAGTATTTGTCAAAGAGACTCAATATTTGTTGCTCACAGGATTGTCCGCCAAGGCTTTTTTAGTTATTACTCTCATAGCATGACACATTTCTTTGACCACACTGAAATAAAGTGATATAAAGGAACAGCTGTCCTTGCTAGAGCTATATTGCTAAATTGATTCTGCTTAAAGTCCAAATTGGCATGCAATGCTGAAATGGTAAACTTGTATTTTTATTAGTATTTGCTTTTCTTTTATTAATTACAATTAATCAAAATGCAAATTTGATTTTGGCCTCTAAAGATTATATTAAAAAAGCATCATATCTCGCCCCCTTTCCAGCAGTTTACATTTGTTCCTTCACAAAGCTGAGTTTCACGAGGGACTCAATGAAATCATGTAACATGACTTTTGCATCATGAGACGTGCCCCATTTGTTGAAGTGTAATCAATTCTTTTATGTTTTTAAAAGCATGACAGAGAGACTGTGCTGTTCTTTGCATGTTCTGAGCCTCAGAGAGTTTATTATTATTAATAAAAAGATATAAGACCAAAACTAAATCGCTCACTGCTCACTTTTGTAACTTTTTCCACAGTTTGTTATATATTTCATTCTTTATTTTAAGAAATCTAATCCCCCCCCCCCCAAATGTATAGGTGTAATAACAACTTTATTTACTGGGATTTGATAGATTGGTTGATGGATTTGATACATGGCTGGATTGATGGATTTGATGATTGATGGATGGCTGCATTGACTGATTGATTGGTTAATGGATTGATTGATTGATTGATTAATTAATGGATAAATGGATGGATTGATGGATAGATTGATTAATTGAATAGATGGATTAATTAATGCATTAATGGATGGATTAACAGAATATTGATGGATGATTGATTGTATAAGTTGACTGATTGATTGTTGTGTTGATAGATGAATGGATGGATGGATTGATGGATGGATAGTTTAATAGACGGTTGGATGGATGATTACTGATTGACTCTTTTTTTACTTTGTCCCTATCTAGATTGAGTGATTGATTGGTTGATTGATTCATGATATATTGATTGATTGATTGATTGATTGATTGATTGATTGATTGATTGATTGATTGATTGATGGATGATTGACTGTTGACTGTTATTTTTTTACTTTGTACCATTCTTTATTGATTGATTGATTGATTGATTGATTGATTGATTGATTGATAAATGGATGCATTTAATGGATTCATGGATAGATAGATTGATTGATTTGTGAATCGATAAATATATTGATTAATGGATGCATTGATGGATTTATTGATTGGTTAATTGATTGATTGAATGATTAAATGGATTGATAGATTAATTAACGCATAAATGGATGAATAAACAGAATATTGATGAATTGATTGTATTGGTTGACTGATTGATTGATGTATTGATAGATGAATGGATAGATAGATGGATTGATGAATGGATAGTTTTATATGGTTGGATGGATGATTAATGATTAACTCTTATTTATTCATTTTATTTTACTTTGTCCCATTATAGATTGAGTGATTGATTGGTTGATTGATTCATGATGCATTGATTGATTGGTTGATTGATTGATAGATTTGATTGATGGATGTATGCATTAACAGATTTATTGATTGATTAATGGATTGATGAATGGATGAATAGATAGTTTACTAGATGGATGGATGGATGGATGGATTGATAGATTGGTGAATGAATGGAAGATTGATTTTTGTCTCTTTGTTACACTGTAAGCCCGGACAGGTTGATTGAACTTAAAAAAATTATGGAAACTCGCTGCCCTTAAAAAAGCTAATTTCGTCTTGTTGAAAAAACAAAACTTTTTAAGTTTATTGTATTTAAGTTTTCAAATGCATTTGATTAAATATTTAGTTGACTGAAATAAAGGTTTTTAGTACAACACTACTGAAATCTTAGGTACAATAAACCTAAAAAGTATTGTTTTTTCAACAAGACGAAATTAGCTTTTTTAGGGCAGCGAGTTTCCATAAATTTTTCAAGTTCAATCAACCTAAACTTGAAACATAAAATCTTGAGCTGAATGTTATGACAGAAATAATTTTAAACTTAGCTATTTACTATAACTGATTTAATGAAAATACCCCTAATTACAAGCAAGGGCAAAGAATAATAAATTTACTTTACACTTTATTTAAAACCATTTAGAAATATCATTCCCCGAAACAAGTGACAAAACAAGAAAATGCCTTGTATAACAATTTGTCGATATTTATTGTTATAAATCTTATTAAAACACTTGTTTAAAATATTTCAATAAATCTTTACAAACATATCCAAGTAATAAACAACCACAAGATATTATTACATTGTAACATTATGGAATATTTACACTTGCCAAACACTAAGGCATAGTTTTAAGTTTTTGTAACTCACAGTTAGTACAGCAAGCCTGAAGGAACATGCCTTTTTTGTACCAGTTTACATGACAAGCCAGAATCTTACCCTTCAGCGTCTTCTTACCCAAACTTGTTGAATAAAAAGAAGGGTATTGTCCATGCATTTTGCGTAGCCTAGGTGCAGTGCATAGGTTGATCCAAAAAGACACATGGCCTGGGGTATATTGTCTGTATTGTCCATTACAACATTTCCCTCCAAGATGATTCCCACAGGGGATGGGTGGAGGTGGAAGGACAGGGGTTGCAGAGCCACATCATCATTTTCTCGGTTAAGAATTCCAACGAGCACATGTTGATTTGAGTCTCCATCATCTGAAGCCTGACAACAATACATAGATAACATAAATATATCTTAGAGGTGTACATTTGATTTTAATATATATGAATTGTATTTAATGTTTTTTAGTTGTATGCAAGCATAAATTGTTAATTGTATACCCAAGCATATCTAGTATTCAATGATATATAAAAATACTACAAAATATTAAATTGGTTTTTTTTGTATACAAGTCATTGCATACGGCATAAAAAGATTTGATATAATTAAATTACTAAATATTTTATTAATGATACTTACAAAACATGCTTTGAAGAACTGCTTCAAACTACTGGAAGCACTCAAATGAAAACACCTCGCATGTCAGTGAGGTCAGAGGCCTGAGGTGTTGCAGAGAAACAACATTATATCATTTGTCAACATGAGAGAAAGTGCATTTTCATGTATCATAATTTAGTCTCTGTTACTGAGCATTTCTAAAGTAATTATATCAATTTCAAAATTCAGCACACAATGGCATCAATTTATATCAATGGCATGTACAAACAATGGCATACACAAACCTTTACATCTTGTAGTAGATAAAAATCTGTCCAGTGAGATCTCTCTGTGACCTGAAGATCTGAATCAGTTGTGGGCAGTGATGATCAAGAGACCAATATAATTCTTGCTAACTATCTGGTTGAATTCCTGATAAACCTGTAGTAGTAAAACACAAAAAAGTTCATTAACATCAGAGAAATGTCAAAATTAAACAACTGTCAAACTAGCATGCTATCATGTGTATCAATACTGTACTCATTTCATTACAAATACACAGTGGTGGTAAGAGTACAAAAACATTGTACTCAATTACAAGTACTGTTACATTGCTGAAGATGTACTCAATTACAAGTAAAAGTACTGGTGTTAAAAAGTACTCAAGTAAAAGTACAAATTACTCTTCATAAAAACTACTCAAATTACAAATTACAAATTACTTTTTTAGCTGGCGGTATTGGTGCAATTATCCATAAATGCAGAGTCAGACAAGATCCAGGCAGTAAAACACATTTTACATAACATATTTAAAGATACTATAAACACTTTTAAAACTGTGTAAACAGCATTAATTATAGATCATAATTATAGAGCACCTATAGAGGAAACCCACGCCAACATGGGGAGAACATGCAAACTCCACCCAGAAACACCAACTGACTCAGCCAGGGTTTGAACCAACAAACTTCTTGCTTTGAGGCGATAGCGATACCCACTGCGCACCATGATTATTTGACAAAAACAATGTTTTGCTATTTTGAGTATAAAGACAACAGAATAATTGAACAAATAAAAATTTACTTTTTAACATTTCAATTGATGCCTCTCTTATCTGTACAATCAATAGATGATTTAATATAATAAAAAACACTTGCAAATTATGGAGAAACTTTGTTAATTACCTAATTCACAAACTGAACCATCAGAAACCACAGAACAACACTGCCTAGTGCCTAAACAATAAATTAAATATTACACAAATTTTAGATTATAGACTGAAGTCTTGTAACAGAGTTTCTGCAGATATCATAATGTCAAATTTAAGACTCTTTAAGACCATAAAGTATTAAATTTAAGACCTATATCACAGTATCAAAAGCATGCAAGAAAAAATGCAAAAACACAAAATTTGTGGTAAAATAAAATTATTTAAATAGAACAGTACTGAAGACAGGTTAGATGCACCATTGAAGTACAGGAAGAAAAAACAAAGAAACAAACATTGAGGCTGATTTATACTGGGAAAGTTGGCATTTCTGTGTGGAATTTGCATGTTCTCCCCGTGTTTGCATGGGTTTGCTCAAGATGCTCCGGTTTTCCCCACAGTCTAAACACATGCATTTTAGGTGAATTAGGTAAGCTAAATTGTCTGCTGTTGTAAATGAGAATGGGTTGTAGCTGGAAGGGCATCTGCTGTATAAAACATATGCTGGATAGATTGGCGGTTCATTCCACTGTGGCGACCCCTGAATAGTAAAGGAACTAAGCCAAAAAATATATTAATGAATAATTATAAAGTTTTATAACTATTCAAGATTTTTTTAAATCAAACTTTGTTGCATCACTCACTTTTGTTTATATCTCGGAGAGTTCTACCTATTAAAGTTAAATATCACTGACAACAGAACATGGGTAACTCTACAATTATAGTTTTTTATTCTGTCAAAAATAATAGAAAAAATTATTAAAACTTTTAATTATTTTGCCCCCTCAACATTTGACACATTGTCTGGCTAGTTTCTGTCCTCTAATTATGAGCTGAAAAGGCAATAATGGTCCAACAATCCTGTCCATCATCACCAATAAAGCCTAGAAATTGGGCATCAGTATACTGTAAGCCGATGGGTTCATATATTCTTTTTCAATTATCAAAGACATAATTTGTTACTTCATTTTTGTTACATTGTTTTAACTTAAAAAAATATACATCAGTGTAAAACCTATAAATGGTGGAAAAACATATTCTGTAAACTTAAAACCACCTGGGTCTCCACTTTTGCCATGGCTTCTTTTTTGTTGTAACAAACTTATCCCCCAGGTTTTTCCAAACTTTTTAACAAAACACTTCCTTTCCATGGCTTTTGCAATTTCTGGCCAAGAATTATTGGTCATCTGGGTATTTCTATGGTGATCACGCATGGTCAGATCATTAAGATGTCTGTACAGTCGTACTGTTTCAGACAAAATCTCTTCATTGTTTCATGTTCAACTGAAATCAAATGCGGCGCCGCGCGAACTGTTCACCCGAAATCATGTCGCGCGCATCCAAAGTGAACCTCCGCAAACATGGCGATGACGTCACATTCGCCGCGCGCACTGAGCTATTGCATGCTGGTCTTATTTGTAGTTGTACTCCGTGTCTCGCGCCTTCAAACTCCAGCGCGCATTCACTGCATGCAGGATTGCCTTCTGAGCGCAAGTCATTTATTAAATTAAGATATATTCCCTCAGCTGCTCCTAGCCTCCTACCGATGCAAATTCTGTTTTTACTTTTGATATTTGTCGCCAGTTAATCAGAAGGTGGCGATTTTGTTCTCTTTGACTTTGGCGAAAACGCTGCTTTATTTGCTTAGTCTTTTTTGCGATATTCTAGTTTTGGGCATACATTTAATTAGCATTTTTAGATAATAACAGATATCCACACTGCATAAGCACAGCTGTCCCCTTTCTTCCCCATGTACCTCTAGGTGAACAGCTCCTCCAGGTGTGGCCATGGGCATTCATCCTCTGCTATTTCTTCCTCATTTCTTCTGTCTTAAATCTCCATATGTCAATCGATAACTTTATGACTGTTTGATGACGGTCAGCTCACGTAAATCTGCAGTAGCCTGAACTTGTTTTTCGGTTCAAATAATGTACCAGGCTTTTCATTGGTCCGTTAAAATGAGCTTTTTTTTATTGGCTACCGAAATGCTAGTCAGTGCGTGGTTAAAATATTAAATTATTTACAGTACTCTGTAACGAATTGTGATTTTAAAAGTAACGAAGTAGATTAATCAGCTTAATTTGTACTCAAGTACAAGTAAAATTACAGGCTTAAAATTTTACTCATGAAAGTACAATTACCCCAAAAATGTACTTAATTACAGTAACAAGAGTAGTTGTAATTCGTTACTCCCACCACTGCAAATACATTCCTGATATATGCATGGAAATGGCTGGCTTCTTGCATAGCTCCCATGTTTAAATCTGCAATGTTTTAATAAGTACCATATTTTGTCATAAGCAAATGAGCAATACTTACATTTTCATCTCATCCTGGTTGGCCTTGCTTTGACCTTTCTAGAATCTACAGTCACAAAAATATACATTAGATTACTAGCTGACAAAACACATTTACATATTTTGATCTGTTATCTCCAAATTTCCCACAAACAGCTATTGTTAACCAAAAGAATTATAAAGCTACAGTTAATTATTTATGTAGCTTTCATTCTAATTAACTGAAAATTCACTTGCTAAGACTGATGAGCACGAGGTTGCATATCTTTCAAAAAATGCCAACTAACATGAATTCGTATTTCCGAAGAAAGGGGCAAATCTCGATGTATTCTAGTCTGTTAATACTTCACTTACAAAAAAAAAAAAAAAACCTTTAAAACAGCTCAGGTTAATGTTACGCTAAACATCTGACGATGCATAACCACCACTGCAAAAATAATCATTTTACACAACAGATAATGCGGATGACTCATCGAATACAGCATCAATATTAAACTTTATATGTGACGACCTCATAAAGCATGTTTTCACGTACAGCAACTGTAACGTTAGTTACAGCCGCAATCGGTTATAACGTGGCATAAATGAACACGCTAACACAGGCAAAACTTACATGAACTATTTTACATAATATATGATCGATATCATGATCCTATTACGCACGTCTTAGCACTTTTCACGTCTTAGAGCTGTATATAAATGTGGCGATGGCGGTTGCGATTGACCGGAACAATAACATCCTAACGTCAGACACAGTTTAATCTTACATGTGGTTTTCTTGCTAACGGTTACATACTTTGTTTATTAATGGAAAACAATTTGGATTGTTTTAGACAAAAGTATGAAATCGTACTCACAGTGATCAGCAGCCATTAGAAAATGCGCGCTCACGCTGTGTTCACCAGTGACGTCAGCCCAAAGACAAAGAGCCAATCACATTTCCCCTTACACATCACTCCTTTGACAACAGACTAAAACAAGCTCTGTTAAGTACATTCAATTTAAACAATCCAGTAGAATCAAAAATGTCATGCAAATCGTACAACAAACTAAACAAATTGAGTAACTGAGCAAAAAAGTTGGAATTTATGTTTATTGAATCTAAGTATTTTGAATTAATACAACTTTAGGGATAACAGTGTAGTTTTTTTTTTTACCTTGTCCCATTCTTGGATGGATGGATGGATTTAATTGATAGATCGGTGGATATGCATAATAACGATTGTTTTTTTCCATAATTGAGTAGGCCTAATTTTCATGAACTATCTGACCTGACTGTATTTGTGCAATCAATAGGTTCCAACAATCCTAAATGCACTACAGAGAAGTGTGCAGGCGGTTCTGGTGGGGAAGATTCAGATCCAGGAATGGTTCGGAAATGGCATCAAGCGAGCTGCACTAATGAACAAATGGGTTCTGAAGGAGGTGAACATCGATGACGACGAACACTGTCTTCTTCAAACAGATGGTTCCTTTCTTTACCTGCTCTGTAAAGATGGTCTCTACAAAGTAGGCTCAGGATACAGCGGCACCGTTCGGGTGAGGGCATCTTTTAATTAGCTTATCATCAATGCAGTTTAGAGATGTTAAATATCATGAGAGACTGGAGTATCAAATTATTGATTGCTAGTAAGACATAAACAATTTTGGGTTTAACATTTAACATTTTCAATCATGTTAAGTGAACTAAACCTGTCTATTTCTGGTTATAGCACAAAATTAATGTTAATGAACATGAGAAAATTTAAATGCACAATTTCTCTTGTAATTGTCCAATCAATGTTTAAACCTCA